AGTCAAGGCATGTGTGGTAATGTGTATTATATTTATTTAGTAAAAACAATTATGGATTTTAAATAAATCTAAGTCAAAAACGTATGTTTCCACATGCAGGGTATCCCCTCATCGGACACTCTCGATTAGAGCACTTTAACTTGTTTGTTTATACGTAAACTATTAAACGCCACACACGTTTCTTCATTAATTCCACGTGTTTATTTGTTTAAAATAACCTTTTATGACGCTGTGGCGCTACAACTTGCTACGGTCGTTATACACATGGCAGTACGTACACAGAGGGAAAACTCAGTGTGAGTTGAAAAAGGCGACTCTAGAACTGTGTATTATATGGTTAGCTATCCACATCATAGAGCATCGTGCCGCTGCCGACAGCTAATTGAATTTAATTGGCGCGAAAAATCTGTATGAAAATAAACAAAACTTTTAGTTTTTAACACACTTCTCCTTTATTTTTTGTTGTTGCATAATTGTATGACTTGTTTATTTCATTTAGCAACAATAACTTTAACTTGTATCAGGCCAATGTTTATGCCACATTTTTATTGTCGCTTTTTCAAGAATAAAAAATCAACAACCACAAGAACAATGTTCTTGTACTAGGAAATACTTTGCCAATGTCATCAAGACAAAAAAGATATGTTTGATGCTCCGCGTATAAGACATTCTTCTTTAATCCGAACGAAAGTTGAACTGAATGCCCAGGTCTTTAGAGATGCGCCTTTTAGTAAAAGAAAACACACATTCTCATCAATTGCTGACTAAGGCTTTAATTGAAAATCTCAATAAAAGCATCAAAATTTTGGATTCATATTGTAAAGATAAAGTTTACCTTAAATTATGTAGAACAGCGCTTTTCATTTCCATAAGCTTATGATAGGTGATTTATAGGGGTTTCCATACAATTACTTACTGGGTTGTCTCATTTAAGTCCTAAACTATGTAAGGCTGAAGCTAAAAACTATTGTTTGAGATTGCAGTCTCGTGTTGTGCGCATGTGTGTTCCGAATGAATGTTACAGCAGTTTGGGGCTGAGCGCTCTTACTTATTATACTCCGTTTAAAAAGAAAAAACGAAAAGAAAAATAGTACGTAGGAATTGTGAATGTTTTGCGGAGTCTTTCCGATTATGCGTGTGTCCTCAATTTCGGCGCTGGGAAAGAGTAAACTTTGAATAAGACAGATTTTAAAATTGGACTTACATTCTATGTATCAATATGTATCAGGGCTGCAGTAAAGTATTAGACTTGGTATTTAATATTCAATAATGGATAAAGAGTATAAACTAAAAAGCAGAAGCAATAAAGTGAATCCTTAAAATAATAATGAATTGGCTGCCACGAGCTGGGTGTTAAACATTTATAAAGGAATGGAGAGCTCTGCAGAATGCTTGCAAGTTTCTGGCTTGGCTTGGCGCCACTTGGCGCCCAGGGATCGTCATCCGGTACTAGGCTTAAATCATTTAGTGTGACAACCCGCTGACAATTGAACGAAAAAGGAGATGGACAGCTAAATTCCAGGCTTCTAAAATATGAACTCGATTAACGATGATGAAAACATGTGAGCCGAGCAGAGCTAAGTCCATAAAATATCGTGATTTATTTGAAATGAACAAAACAATAAAATAACTGACTCGAAGCAAGCAAACGACTGCAATGAGCAAGGCGCACATAAGTTTGGCAAAGGTTTGCAAAATGTTTCACTCATAGCCAGACAGCTGAAGGAAAAGATACACATACATAAGAGCTAAGGTATTTTTATACCCTGTTACAAAATGATGTGACTATATTCGTGTTGAGTACTCTCTCTCCCACTTATCCAATTAAAATTTCAATTCGTCTTTCTACAAAATTAAATAAAAAGAGAAGTGGGCGTGCCAAAAGTAAACCAACTGAACAAATTTGGTGAATAAAACTTTAACTCGGCACCTAGAATAATAACTTGGCAGATAGAGTATTCCAAAAGTAATGTATTTTTTCGTTGAGGTCACAGTACTTGTGTAGGTACAAAATATGACCATGAACCATTATTATTTAATTTCTTAATATATAACTTAAACACCCTATACAAACAATTTTATTGTGTATTAACCCTGATGAAAAATTGAAACCATTCGGTGTTTTACTTTGAACAATTTAAAGTTTTGCTCCTAATTCTTTTTAGGTCAGTCATTTGCTTGAATTATATAGAGATGGGAAATTCGGAGTGTAGCCTGTGCTGCTCAAGTTAAATACAGGGTATGCACAAGCATTGCTTGCAATAATACATACTTCAATATTGCACAATCATACAGAAAGCGTAAATAACGAAGGCTCCGAATTTTGTAAAATTATTTTCCGGATTAAGCAAAGTCCATGGTACTAAACGCTTACCCAATGTATACGAAAATCTCTGTCCATGGTGACAGTGCAGCAGCTAATAATATCAGTGGTATCTGAATGTTCGCAAATTGACCAAATCCTGACTTCAAGCAATGTACATGCATGCATTTCTTATCGCCATCGTGGACATCTTCGACTAACCAAAACAATACAACGCGCAATCAGCGACACTTCATCGGCCACCGCAAATAAAAAAAATCAGAAAACAAAAGGACACAGAGCGTAATGAGGGCGAAAATATCTTTATTTAAAGAGGTAGCCCCAGGCTGGCGACTGTGAGCCTTCCACAGAAGGCAGCAGCTTGGAGTGCAGCCAGCTTGGGGAAGCATAGGCAACATATTTGTCATTCGCATGGGGCGCAGGCTGCCAATAATCGCAAAGCAAATATCATGCAGAGGTCTTGTTGCACCACTACCGCCAATGTGCCTTAATTAGATAAGGCGACAAGCTGCCAGGGGGCTGGAGCGGGAGTCGGAGTCGAGCTATGAGCAGCAGACACGATCTTTCTTTCGATGGGATATAGCAGAGTACTGGGATCTGAGACCGTAGCTTGGCGACAGATTCTGCTAAACAATGCCATGTTTACAACTTGTAGGCTATGCCAGGTTTGTTTTTTTTTCCCCTCTTTTTTTTGTGGTATACTGTAGACACTTTTCTGCCCTGACTAAGGACTTAAGTTAGCATTTGTGTGTGAGCTATATCAAGATCTGGCAAGAAGCCGCCACGGTCAATTGCCACTAAATGCATATTTTGCATTCTGTAAGGGCATTGCGCCAATTGCGAATAATTTTAGAGCTTAGTTTGCCTAACAATATCACGATTTTCAAATAATTTGTATATCTGTCGACTAGAAAGACTCTAAAATAGGCAATTATTCTTGCATAGTATTAACAAGGGTTATGGTACGCAGTTATGTGCATACTTTATGACTACTTTACGTAAATATTATTTCAATGAATTGCATAAGTTAATCAAACAAGAGCGTAGCAGTCAAATTAAAATTACTGTTCACTGTAGAATTACTGGGGATTAGCGATTCAATAGCTCTTATTGAATATTGGAAAGAATACAGATTTGAAGATTAAGATTTAAACCCTTCTTCTGCTTAGTAGAAACAAATCGAAAGTCTACTATAGACAGTGAGAGCTCCCATCACGGACAGCTTACATAAGCGGACAAATTTCGTCGCAATCCTTCCATAATTCTTTGGATACCAAATGCATTCTCATATCCGGGCGCTTCAATAACATAATTAAGTCGGTAATTCTTCTTTAGATACAGATGTACATGTTTATGCCATACGGTTTGAGAATGGATTGAAATTGCAGATTATCCACATAAGTTTCTTCTTTAACACGTGTTAATATTATATATATATATTTTTTTTAATAAACTTATTACATAACCGAATATCTGCCTCAGAGCACAAATATGGCATCAAGACATTTTTTTTCTATAATATATTTTTATCTTTTAGAAAAATTGAAAATTGTTTGCCTTTACCTCTCAAATTTATGAAAGTTTTCGAAGGTTCAATATTGGCAAATCACAGGCCGCAGAAATAAATAATAAATAAAATAAAAATAAAAAGTTTGAGCCTCTCCGATAAGCGGCCATCTCCCATGAGCACACATCTTTCATAAACGGACAAAACCCTTCAAAGGTATGTGTCCTGTTAGGGCGCCTTCACGTTTTATGGAAGAGTATTCATATTAAGATTCCTCGTAATTTCAACGACAGAAATGTTGTTTTAACCATGCCAGACTCTTTTTAACCAAGTGTATTACCCAAAATATATGTGGGCATGGAATTTGCTTGATTTAGTTGTCTTCAATCGTGTTGTTGTCGTCAGCCAACGACGCCGTCTTATTGTCATTGATCTTCAATCGGTCTCTTTCTAACAGTTTCAGCTTTCGTCCTACCCTTGGCACGGGCGCCTTTTCATCGTTTCTGTTAGTAAACGAAAGATGCAAGGTCGGAGCAGGAAGGAGGAAAGGTGGAAGGTCTGGTTGGTTTCATCGGCCAGACAGCCGACTGCGCTTACATATATAGCTCGATTTGACTATGGAACGTTGCGCCAATTACACAAACAACTGCCGAGGCAATTGTGCCTGACTAGAATACACCCTGTACCCATTTCTTTACCTCCTTCCATGCATATAAGACTGACGGACATGGCTAGACCGACTGAGCTGTCGAAAACATATACACTCTATGGCGGGGAAGATGCCTCCATCTGCTTGTTAAACACATACCTACATGTGCGCAAAACCATGTACCCCTTTTTACTCATTCTCAATGGGTACAGTGAATAACAATTGGAAAGCCGCGCCGGCGCAGGCAAAGCCGCCGTATGTGCTGAAATCTGTAAATCTCTATGGCAGGGCAAGCAGAACCGAAAGAAACGACGAAATAAGCAAAAAATAACAAACCATTTTAGCAAGATGGTAGCAAGGCGAAAGAGATAAAGGGAGCGTTTCACCGCTGGGTGCCAACGAAATCCAATGCAAAGGCAGACAATTTAACCCAGATCCACAGCCAGAGAGCGAGTCAAGCGAACACTATTATATGTAGTTGCAGTAGTTGTCCCCAGGCCAATGAAATAATTTGCGGCGCATTTTAGTTTACAACTTTGTAATTAATTAGCAAGAGGACACACACTGGGGCCAGCTTCGGCAGCCAGCGGCGCAACTTAGTGACATTTGGAAAAGGGCTACTTGATATGTATATATGCAGAGGTAGACATCAGAGTAGTCGATACTTGATAGCGCGCAGCATGGGGAAGCGGTCTCCGGTGCACTGACCTCGGAAGTCATCCTGAGTTAAGTCGAACAAAGCGACGCCTCCGAGATTCTTGACACGCGCATATTGTGCCTTGCTGCCAGCTGTATCAGGATCATCATAGCTAACCCACAAGCCATACTGGCCGTCCTCATCGGCCAGGCGATAAGCATAGCTGCCATAACGCTTTGTGGGATCGGGAACGCGTCGTATGGGAGCGGCGGCGCCTTTGCTATTCGCATTGCTAGGATTGGGAAGTAGTTGACAGATCTCAGCCCAATTTAGAAGTCCTTCTGTCTTGGTTTGTGGACCGGCAGCCGCTGGACCATCAGCAGCCACAGCGGGCTCTCCAGTGGTACCAGAATCTGTGGTTAGTTTCCAGGCTCGTCCATAGGTGGCAATACCAATGTTCAGCTTGTTAGCTGGCACACGCTGTAGCAGCCAGTGTTCCATTTGAAAGTGGACATTGTAGTGTGCCAGTCGGTTCTGGCCAAATGCCTCGTAAAGTGGAGCTGAGAAATCAGCTTCCTCGGGATTGCGAGTGGGCGTGAGAAAGTCGAACGTGCCGAGGTTAATAAAATCCACTTTATCAGCGATGGCAGGAGCATCGAAGTACCCTGAGGATAAGATATTAACAAACATTAGTTTAATGATATACAATTAAGCCAAGAATATAGCGAACTCACAGCTGGAATTGACATTGGGCAGAACGGTGAGACTTAGCAGCAGATCGTTGACTTTAAGCGCACTACTGAGATCCTTGACAAAATTTGTCATCTGTGTCTTATGCGTTTCAGAGTCAGGGTCCACAATGAAATCGCCTGTGAAGAATTTTTTGAAGCTTTTCCAGGCCATTCCCACATCAGAGTGAATCTTGCGGGGCTTATTGCGCGGCAGCTGGAAAGCGAGATCCAGACCATCGAAATTAAAGCGACGTATGACATCTCTAGCCGAGCTAATGAAACGCGCTTGTGCCTGGCTGCCTGCCTCCAGGAGCTGGATGTATTTCTCTTCTTGCTGAACATCACGATCGCCGCCCACACTTAATAAAAATTTAATATATGGGTACTTCTCCTTAAACGCCGTTATTTGCGCAAAATGTCGACGCTCAAAGTCCAGCCGTTGGTTAAGGCTTTTTACCTCAAAGGTGTCTGGATTGATGCCAGCATAGCCATATATCACGTGCGTGCAAAACTGCAGTGCCAGCTCCAAATCCGTGAGTGAGAACTGAGCAAGGCCTGTGGGAGAGCAACGCACAGATCAGAAGAGAGTAAGCAATGTGGAGAGCATTTAAATATATTTACCTTGTCGCTCAAAGCCACTAGAGTCGTAGAAGCATATCAGATGGGGCGCGGCGTTGATTGACTGCGGCTCTGAGAGCAGCAAAGTCATCGCTAGCCCGAGCCACAAGGGCCACAAAGAGCGCATTTTTGTAGATTTGGAGAGCAGCTAGCTAGCGAGAGAAAGAGCAGCCTGGGGACAGGGGGTAACAAGATCGCAATTAAATACGTCCGCACGAAACGAGAGACAAACCGCAACTAAATTCATATGGCAACGGAAATCGCATCAAGCGAGCTTTGTAGACTCAAGGGGCCGAACAATAGGCTTTATATTATCAACAAATTTCTCGGAACTGTTTTTGTTTGTGTACAGTGAACAGAGAGTGACAAATGACGTCGAGGCCAATGAGATCACTCTGTTTGGGTAATTTACAAAACTTAAAAGTATTTGTTTATGACTTACTAAAAAGTTGTAACGCGATAAGCTTCAACGAATCTTTAGCTTTATTTTATTAAGCGCTTTAAAATATACAAATATTAATTTGCTTAGTCTGCCACATCAATACATACCCATTTCCCAACTGGACTAAACAAACAATTGGTAGGCGGTAAACTGATAAGCCGAGAAATTTCATCGTCTGTTTATTTATATGAGCTTTAGTTGAGCACAATTAAAATTAAAGTCGATATTTAATAGAGCGCAGGATTGGATATTTGTCACTAGTGCACTGTCCACGGAAATCGTCGTAGCCTAGGTCGAATAAAGCTACACCGCCCAGATTCTTGGCACGTACATAGGCTGCCTTGTTCGAGGCGGCATCGGGATCATCATAACTAACCCAAATACCCTCAGTTATGGCCCCATCGACCGCGCGATATGCGTAGTTCCCGTATCGCTTGGAAGGATCGCTTACACGCCTTAATGGCGCATCATTTCCCTTGAGATATTGATTTTGCGGATTAGACAGCTTAGCGCAGATCTCTGGGTAGCTAAGCAGACCAGCCTTTTGAGATTGCAGACCTTCCGGAGCAGGTCCTTCGGTTTGACGGACAATGGGAGTCCCTTCAAGGCCTGATTCGCTAGACAGTTTCCATGCGTTTCCATAGCTGGCAACTCCTAAATTAAGCTTGCTGGCTGGAAACCCTTGCTGAAGCCAATATTGCACCTGAAAATCAACATTGTAGTGCGGGAGGCGGTCTTGGGCTGCCAATTCGTACAGTGGAGCCGTATAATCTGCCTCTTCGGGATTGCGAGTCGGCGTTAGAAAGTCAAAGGCGGCCAAGTTGACAAAGTCAACGAGCCCGTTCAGCGCTGGTATGTCAAAGTACCCTGGGAAAAATTGGGTACTAATGCATTTTCTTAAATGACAATTATCTTTTAATACTCACAGGTGGAGTTAACATTCGGGAGCACAGTCAAACTTAGTAAAAATCCATCAGCACGTAGCGAATCCTTCAAATCTCGAACAAACGCTGTAAACTGCTCCTTATGCAGGGCCGCATTGTTATCAACTATAAAGTCGCCAGTAAATAGCTTCTTGAAGCTTTTCCAAACTGTGCCCAGCTCACTGTGCACTTTTCTGGGCTTGTTTCTAGGGAACTGATATGCTAGATCCAAGCCATCAAAGCCATAGTTCTTAACCAACGAGTAGGCCGACTGGATGAATCCCGTCTGTCGCACCTTCTCCCCTTCGAGTAGCTCAATGTACTTGTTTGGATGTTCCACATCGATGTCACGATCGCCGCCCACGCTTAGTAGCACCTTTAAATGTGGATATTTTCGCTTGAAGGCTGTTATTTCGGAAAACTGATGCTTATAGATGTCCAAATTTTCATTCAAGCTGTATGCCTGATAGTTGTCGCCACGAAGGCCCACATATCCGTAGACCAAGTGCGAGCAGAACTGCAAGGCGATTTCCAAGTCCGGATTCAACAGTTTGCCTAATCCTGCAGCGGTTATTAGAGGTTGATTATTAAACATGAAATAAGTGAAAATTCTTACTTTGTTGAAAGAGTAACAGACTACTGCAGTAAAGATCTTACTAGACTCACCAGACTAAGATCAACTTATTTCACAAAAATTGAAATACTTTGGATATGTTTATATCAACAAGAGCCTGAAAGCTTAATTTAGGACCTGTAGCTTTTATAAGCTTCCAGACATGGACAAAAACAATCAGAAAATCGATGGTTCGATCCTCTGAGGAGGTCATCAGCAGTCTAAGGCTGTGAAAAATCGATTTTCGCGATTGTAACGAATTCCTCTCTAGCTTCAACAGTGGTGAAGAAATATTTAAATGCTCTTGTTCACATTATGAATAGAGTCAGACTAGAAGTTAGACTATAAATTGTTATTTTAAGCTTGAAATTGAAATTGATAAATTATTAAAAACTTAATAAAAGACTTTCTGTAAAGCTTTTTTATTTCACCAACTGTCATCTTAACAGCTCTGGCTTAGCTATCAGCCCCGGCTTACAGTTTGATGTATTTCTTATTTATTTACATCAAAGTCGGTTTATGTGTGCAATTGGATCAACAATGGCTTTTCCGACATAAACGATCCAATTTCCCTATAGTGCACCACACATTGGGATCATTGTCCCGCAGGGGCTCAATTAAGAGCAACAACAGTCTTGTTGAATTTATACTTCGCAGTATTCATTATTCACTTGAATGTACACAGTTGCCTAAGAGTGATTAAAAATGATCCCAAAAATAGTGTGTTATCTTTTAACACGTTGATTATCAATTCTAGACTGTTTTTGTGTTTATAGTTACGTGTATAAATTGATAAATTTATATAATTGATTTATTTATGTAATTAAATAAAAAGATCTATGTTTTTAAATTGTAGTTTGACGCCCACAGTTTTTCCATTTTATGAATCGGGTGCGATCTCTAAACGAATTACATTTGGTTCCACTGTTCATTACGTCGTCATAATGTTAGTCACTTGTTGGGTCTCAAGCGGAGAAATGTTGCTGGGGCAGTTGTCGCGCTGGACTCGCAGCGAGTTGTACACTCAGATTTCGATTTCAAGCGCGTGGATTGTGTGAGCGGCTCAAGCTCTTGTTTTTAAAAAACTGTCACGTTTGGATAACAATTTTGTGCTACTTTATTGCTGTTGCTGTTTTATTATTGTCAGTAAGTTGGCGAGGTGACCTTGTATTTAATTGTTTGCCTTTGAAATTGCCAGTTTTCATAGATCATCATACTTTTAATAACAATATAGAGAGAGATATATATATATACATAGAGAGAGAGAGAGAGAGAGCATATTTGTGAGCTCGGCTCGTTTAGAGTAAGAGCTACTCTCTCGAACCTCAACTCAACTGATAAGCCACTGACCTCCAGTCACAACTACGCGACAGCCTCTCGCGATATGTTTACGTGCTGGTTTTAAAATGAACTTAATATTAAGAAGTTAAATTGTGTTTTATAGTTTAATACGTAATATAAACGGATTTTTCAATGGGTTAGTACGAAATATGCTAATTAAAAGCTTTTAACATGTGTTATCAGATTTGCGTCTGAATTTAGTTTGATCTTTAGCAAAACGCGGAGTGTGCTCGACGAGGAGACTGGTTTTGATGTTATTACAGAGAAGCACGCACACGATCCGCTTCAAGTTTTCAAAACGTATAAACAACAAAATACAATTTGAAATAATTCATAATTGATTAAAAGGGAGGTTTGACAAAATCTAAGCTTAATCTGCATATGGCATACAAAAATATATTTAACAAAAATATACATATTTTCGATTAAAAATAGATTTCTAATGAAATTGTGGAACAGTTGAAAATAAACTCTTGCTAATGGTACCAATAGTAATCGACTTGAAAATACCCTGTACCAATATTTACACTGTCCTTGTGGGCTTGAACTGAAACATGTTTATATGTACAACTACAATTACAATTTAACTAACAGGTAGAGTTATCAAGATATGAAATACACATTATTCGCGTATGGTAAATTGAGCCTGGTTTTTAAAGTCTCTGAGCCACGGCCCCAGAGTCATACGGACATGTCAATACTGATAATTGATTGCGGCAGCCTTACAATATCCTCTGAAGGGAATTCCAATTCTAGTTAACAAAATAATAATATCCTCTGTCAGGGAATTCCAATTTTAACTAACCAATTAAATAAGGTTTTCAATTAACACCCGAAAATGCCCCCTTACCTTCGCGTGTGTAGCTTGATGAATCATAATAGCACACTAAGTTAGATGCTCCGAGTGTGACAGTCACAAGAAAGCCCGTGAAAAACGAAAGCAAAAAGAACAGCTTCATGCTGCAGTATTAGAAAAATACTTAGCAGACAAGACTCACGACCGCATCGACGATTAAATGAAATCGAACTGAAGCTGAAATGGAAACCGAAAACGCAAACGACAAACGGCAAACGACAAATGAAGCTGCCGACCGACGATGACGATAGCAAAAGCTTTCATGGAGAGGAACACAGCACATTTTGTTATTACCAGATAAAGAGAGCCAGTCAAATCAAGTTTTTATTTTACATTTGCTCTTAGAATAGTTCAATTGCGTAAGCAATGTTATTGAGTCGCTTCAGACTGCGGTTCAAATATACGAGGTCAGAAGTAAAACATTGACACAAGTTCGCTGATTAGCATTACAAAAAATTTGCTCATGAAAAACTCTACAATTTAACCCATAAAGTATTTTACTGAGCGCACAATGGGAAACTTCTGGCCTGTGCAGAGACCGCGAAAGTCGTCATAGCCTAGGTCGAACAGTGCCACTCCGCCAAGGTCCTTGCTTTTGGCATAGGCAGCCTTGATGCCCGCAAAGTCGGGATCATCGTAGCTTACCCACAGTCCGTGCTCGCCTTCTTCATCAGCTGGACGTAAGGCATAGTTTCCGTATTTCTGTGTGAGGTCCGTGACCTTGCGTAATGGCGCATTTGCACCACGATAGACTGCCGTTTGATTCAGAGGTAACTTTGCACAGATTTCTGGCCAGCTAAGCAGGCCTTCGCTGCTGGCAACTTGAAGATCGCCTTGGCCGGGTCCAAGGGTGCTTGGAACAACTGGCAAGCCACTTAGCCCCGAGTCTTTGGAAAGCTTCCAGGCTCGTCCATACGTGGCAATGCCCAAATTCAGCTTCTGCGGTGGACAGTGATTCTGCAACCAGTAGTTCAACTGGAACTCAACATTATAGTGGGGCAGACGCTGTTGCTCGTCAAAATGAAATATTGGAGCAGTGTAGTCGGCTTCCTCGGGATTACGCACGGGTGTGAGAAAATCGAATGCTGCCAGGTTAATAAAGTCCATTAATGGATGCAGCTTGGGAACGTCAAAATACCCTGAAATGCAGATACATTGTTGTTATAAATATAATATAAGAAAATTCAGACAGAACTTACAAGTCGAGTTCACATTGGGTAACACCGTTAATGTTAATAAGAGATTGGCGCTCTGAAAGGTATTTCTTAAATTTCTCGCAAGCTCAGTAAACTGTTCCTTGTGCTGTGCCGACGAAGGATCAACAATAAAGTCGCCAGTGAACAATTTCTTGAACTGTTTCCAGTAAGTGCCAATGGCTCCATGCACTTTTCTCGGCTTGTTTTTAGGGAACTGGAACGCCAAGTCCAATCCGTCGAAGCCATTTCTACGCAGCATCACCATGCTGCTATCAATAAAGTTTTGTTGCTCCGTGCGGTTCGCTTCCAGCAGCTCCAGGTATTTGTTAGGATGCGACTCGTCCACATCTCGATCGCCACCAATACTCAAGAGCACCTTCAGATGCGGAAATCTGTCACGCAGCTGAGTTATGTCCTTAAAGTGAAACATATCCAAGTCCACATTTAAGCTATACAGCTCAAGAGTGCCTGGCTTGAGGCCCACATAGCCATATACCAGATGTGTGCAGAATTGAAGGGCTAAATCCAAATGGTACGCATCCAACTTAGCTAGGCCCGGGCGCAAATATGAGGCCGAGTCATAGTAGCAAATAAGATTCGAATTGCGATTGTTAGCGCCGCGTGTTACGCTGAGCACGCCCAACAGGCTGAGCAGCAAAAGTTTCATTTGAATAAGTATCAAAAGTACGTGTGAACTTTCTGAATGTATAAATAAAACTGTCTCGATATGTTATATTTGTTATTTGTTATATTTGAGACTTGATTCTCATTCGAGAACGAAAAGCTTATCTCAGCGCGGTTGTTATAATGATGATGCCCTTATCAGGATTTTTGTATTGCGAAGCGATTTCATGGTGTTTGTCTGGCAATGGAACAATATTTTCTGGGATTTTTATTTTATTTACTCGGTTTGCAAAGAGAACACAAGTATATTGGCTTTGGGCAAAGTTCGTCAGTCTCTCGCTGTGAAGTCACATTTTCGCTACATTTAAAGCTTTACGGCCACCGACGCCCTCACTCATTAAATTACCAAGATAATACTCAAAAAGGCACTTATCGACTGATTTGAACTGGTTTTACACTGTGAACAGGGTGTTGCGCAGTCGGTTATACCCAACGAAACTTGTTTACATCTGTCACTTTGATACTCTTTTAGACCGTATTATAACTTTGTCATAAAATGAGCAACGCAAGTGAATATATTCTTGATCAGTATTAACAGCTATCATCATTTATTGTTGCAGTCCTGGCAGTATTGGACCAGTATATTTTATAAGAAATGATGAGTCGAAAATTATCTTCTTGTATGGAAAGCGTTTTTGCTAGGAAGATATCATGATCATTTAATTATGTATTAGAATTTGTCGAAAACTTAGATTTTAGTAAGCCATATATCAGAGGGTATTTAATATTCGGTGTGCCGAAGATAGCATGTTTTGCAAGTATTCATACATGCATATATTAACATATAGGTATGTGCACGTATGCATTTTTTCCAAGTATTTGAGCATATTAATAAATACAAATTCTATTAAGAAAGCTACTGACTTCAAGTTGGGTAAACTTAACTACAGCTTGAGCTATTAAGCATGGCTTAAAACTGAAATCCAATGTATACTCTGAACCCATTGAGTATATATATTATTGGCTAGTACCGAGTCGATCTAGCTGTCTGTATGTCCGTCCGTAAGTGCGACCTTTTCGATCTCAGAGACTAAAGAGGTAGATACTCAGCGAAGGTCCTCTTATGACGTGCGTAGACCAGTTAATTTGAAATATTCGATAACTTACTCTGTTCACACGAAATCGGTTGGAATCGATTTTTAAATAGGGATTATTATTAATCTCTTGGAGCTTATTAGAGCTAGACGCACAAATAATCTATTCGGTTAACAATCTCAAAAAATCGGTTATGAATGTATTAACTAAGCTACGCACAATAACCCACGTATTACACATTGACAAAAACAGCCGCCTTGTAATTGACGTTTTGTGGGCAACCATCGTTGTGTGGATTATAGATATATATCGGAAAGCTGTTGCGACTGTTTGAAGGATTATTAAATCTGCAGCAGCCCGAATGTATTTCACAATTCTTGTTATTCCTATTGTTATGATATTCTGCTTCACAAGCCACTCTCTTATCGCTTTGTTTACAGTTCTTACTATTATCAGAGCTGAATGATCTTCAAGCTGTCTTAAGGAATCCTAATAAGGCAACCTGCTGGGCTTTAAAAACGAGCGTCATTACAGCAGCTGACAGTTGAGACAACGGGGCAGCACTTAAATCAAAAATTAATTGAAGCATTAAATACCCGAAACAAACACGTAAAGATATTTGTAGGCTCACACATAGCCGGTTCCAAATTACATCCGTCACAATAATACCGGCAAACTAAGTGTGTGTGTGTGCGTGAGCATGATTCGCATGTGTCACAACCAATTATACACAGGACATGCGAGCATTGTCTATCAGGGGCAGCAAAAGAATGCTTTGCTCGAACTTAAGAGTAATCCTCACACGCTGCTTAGCGTTGACAAGGGGCGTATCACAATGCGAGAGGCGTGCTGAGTGTGCAAGGAGGCGCATAGTTAATCTGCAAAGAGCCCTGATTTCGAGTGTGCGATGTTACGTCTGCACGCATGTATGTACATACGTATGTACATACATACCTACATACATATGTAGTTGCTCCAATCCGTGCCAACATCTACAAGTATGTCTGTTATTGTTGTTTGATTAATATCAGCAAGAGCAGAGCGCAAGTTAAACAGCCACCGAGTCTTTGGGTATTTACTTTGAGATTAAATATTTGTTATGGAATTCTCGCTTTGTGCGAGAAAATAGGTTAATCAAATAAATTAGAAATATAATACTGGTAGCATTGTATTACGTGTCACCTCTGGATGTTTATGGTCAGCGTACAACAACCGCAAGTCTCTTAGGTTAATACACATACTAGCTTCTAAAGCACTAATGGACTGCAGCTATTTGCTGATATTTACTCTTGGCATTGGTCAAAAGCAAATATTGGACGGGTATTTGCCAATATATTATCAGTCAAGCTATAATAGTCAAATAGCTATTAATAGCGAAATGAGATACATATATAAATATATGGGAAATGCTTTGGTTTAGGACTAAAATGTCTGACTAGGTTACATCCGGTATCTGACTCGGAGCACGAACAGATTTGTTCCGTACCATGTTGCACCACCAGTGGTTAGGGGTGTGGTTCAACGAGGCGACGTGTCAGTGCATTCCTTGTGGTGCAACGCTTCAGACATGGCATTGCTGGCTTATATACTACCTATCTATGTATCTATACAAAAGACTATGCTCTTCATTTACCAAATCGGGGCGATTTACTAGCTTGTTCAAAAATTTAAAGCCGCTCAAGGCTGGGTACCAACTGGTTGTTAATAAATAAGAATCCAGTTAGTATTATAATTTTGGTACTGTAATTAATAAAAATTGCTTAAGACCTTAAAGCACAAATTTATTTCTCACTTTAAGTTATTTGCCTGCTTTTCTTTTTATTTCTGGGAATTTTGTTTTCTTTCCGTTCCTACCCGCTCTAGTTTGGCGTCTGTTCATATACATTCTTTGTTTCTACAGATACATCCCCCTCGCGAGCCGACTTGGCATAATTAAGTCCAATAATAATTTTAACAAATACCTTTGCCAATTTGGGGCTCCATCCCTATTCACCTTTCATTATTTCAATGTTCCTTTGGCAGCAGGTGCACAAAGCCGCAAAGCATTTGCCTTTTTACCTATTTGTAATTAGAAAGCCACCAACTTTGCTGTTGGTAGAGGGCTTACTTACAATGCAATATGAGACACAAAAGAGAATTTAATTTTCACAAAACAATTGCCGTTAGCAGCGCACGCCAAATGAAGAGTGCTGCTCAATTGATGTGCATAATCAGTTTATCAGCTGAGTTTTCCTCCTGCTATTTTCGAGGGTTGCTCCCAGAGAAGATTCATCATTGTCAAATGTGGCTTGACATTTTTTAAGGTTGACTACTAAAAAAACGCTGAAAAAATAAACTTTTGTGAGGGGCTTTTGGGTTGGTCTCGTTAGTCCGGTGATATAATTAGAAATTTATAATGAATGTTATTTGCATTGGCCACAAAAAAGAAACAGAAACACGATGAGACGTCAGAATTTTTCTTAAAATTGACGCGCATTTGTGTGCAAATAAAATTAAAGCACTCCCGGCCGCCCACCTAAAAATAGGGCAGAAGGTATATCAAATTTTCAGACCAGGGTTCGCCAGTTCATCAGTCAGCCGATGCGATAAATGAGGAGGGTGTTAATGCGGCATGCAAGTATCAAAGGGACGTTTGAAAAATGAAATTAAAAACTGGAGTGCTCTAGTTGGTCGAGATGGTCCGACTAGGAGACACCCTATGCCCAACGCCCTAACAAACATCCGAGTTTTTATTTTACAAGCATAAACAAAAACACAAGCTGCGCAATTAACGCAGTGGCTGTTCTTTTACTTCTCTCAGCCCCACATAGTGGGCTTTGAATTCTCGCATAGCTTCGGTGTTTATGAGTTGTTTAGAGCATAAATATAACGTCCAAGTGTGTACCAAAGCGCAGGGCTTTACCTTTAAAAATGTGCTTTTTAATTTTGTTAGGAACGGTGGGTGTTATATCAAAGAAGGGGGAACTTTATATAAATCCACGAATACCTATCTTGTACACTTGGTCTCTCTAGCTCTAGCGAAAATAAAATATGAATTTCTTTCGCCCTTGATATTCGAAAATAATATTTTAAGATTGTAATCCCCAGTTTTTATAGTTTTCAAGATGCGTTCACACAAATTGACAAACATAACAGATAAGCATGGGCAGATTGACTTGCTTCTTAACGCTGATAAGGAATATCATCATCAAAGAATCTTAAAATGGCCTGTTACATACATTTGCATATCTGTAATATACCTCTTCTTACCAATTTTTAATGGGTACATAGTGTCATTAAGCACGGGGAATTCAAATAGCCTAAAAACAACAAAATGTAGTCGAATCTTAAATGTCCTAAAACGGATTTTTTGACAAGCGCCACATAAACATTTTAGAGCTTTTAAAATGTATGCACTATTAAATAAGTTTTTACATTTATTTTGAAGCCTTGTATGTTTTCTGTGTGTGCATTTTCCAAAAATGTTGGAACAATATTTAATTTTATTTAAATGTATATGTATACGAACGGTTATAAGTCGGCATTGCCCGGGTCAAATGTTTTTCTTTAAGTATTCCGGCAGAGTGAAACACATCTTCAAAGAAGGTCCTGAATATGAGCTTGAAGCCGATTGGAGGGTAAACAACATAATTTTGCATTCCTTCTCCAATTTTGTAAATAAGTTTTCTACATCAACTCCTTAGCTGGGACCAAAATTGACATACGGTAACTGAAGATAAAATTTCTGATTCTCTCATGGTTTGGACTGTGCCCTAACCACCAATCCCTCAGTCAATCAGTACAAACAGTTTTATGTTAGCCAATAAAGGTAATCCGACTATTTCTACGTTAGTTTTATAAGTCCATTCTTTTTGCAAGCGGTACAGTTTTCCCGGGCTGATTTTTCATTAGAATAATAATAATGTGTATATTGACAATTTGTAATGTATTTTTCAAGAACAACAACTCAAGCCCAAAGGGACGAGAGTAAAATTATAATAAAATTATGCCCGGCGTCTAAC